AATGGAGGTTACTATAGTAATAACACTGTCAATAACCTCCTCAAGTTCAAATATAGGAATGGAGGTTAGTATAGTAATAACACTGTCAATAACCTCCTCAAGTCATATATAGGAATGGAGGTTACTATAGTAATTAACACTGGCAATAACCTCCTCAAGTCATATATAGGAATGGAGGTTACTATAGTAATAACACTGGCAGTAACCTCCTCAAGTCATATATAGGAATGGAAGTTACTATAGTAATAACGCTGTCAATAACCTCCTCAAGTCATATATAGGAATGGAGGTTACTATAGTAATATCACTGGCAATAACCTCCTCAAGTCATACATATGTGTGATTTTACTACATTAAACTCTTCAAGTCACACATGGGTGTGTTTTACTGTAGTAACCTCGACAAGTCATACTCAGATGTCATTTTACTGCAGTAACCTCATCAATTCACACATATGTGTTCTTTTATTGTAGTGACCTCATCAAGTCACACATAGGTGTTCTTTTACTGCAGTGACCTCATCAAGTCACACATAGCTGTTCTTTTACTGCAGTATGTTTGTTTATTCATTGTCAGTCACTATGGTACCCGTAATGTTATTGAGATGTTTGTTTATTCATTGTCAGTCACTATGGCAACCGTAATGTTACTAAACGTTTGTTTATTCATTGTCAGTCACTATGGCAACCGTAATGTTACTAAGATGTTTGTTTATTCATTGTCAGTCACTGTGGCATCCGTAATGCTACTAAGATGTTTGTTTATTCATTGTCAGTCACTATGGCAACCGTAATGTTACTAAGATGTTTGTTTATTCATTGTCAGTCACTATGGCAACCGTAATGTTACTAAGATGTTTGTTTATTCATTGTCAGTCACTATGGCATCCGTAATGTTACTAAGATGTTTGTTTATTCATTGTCAGTCACTATGGCATCCGTAATGTTACTAAGACGTTTGTTTATTCATTGTCAGTCACTATGGCATCCGTAATGCTACTAAGATGTTTGTTTATTCATTGTCAGTCACTATGGCAACCGTAATGTTACTAAGATGTTTGTTTATTCATTGTCAGTCACTATGGCAACCGTAATGTTACTAAGATGTTTGTTTATTCATTGTCAGTCGTAATGTTTTTCTTCCTTTTCTAGGACAGATTACAAGATATGCTAAATAACTACCTGAATCGGTTTTCAAATCTCCCAGGGGAGCTGATAAGTTGTGGTCCGGTGCTGAATTGGTTTGAGGTAAGTTCTTTGTTATAAAAATCTGACTTCATTCAGAACTGGAGCAGGATAAAGATGTCAAGAAAGATTATTGGATTAAACTCACATGGAGCCAGCTTATACTGGTATCCACCAATCACTCACACATCAATACGTTTAACATCATGCACACAAGAATGTATTGTTCAGAATTCCAACACAATCAACCAAATATTTTTGATCGTTTCATTCCACGCTTCTAGAGGGAACCACGAGCAAGTGTTTAATGTGTATCAGTGGATGCGATTGGCTGAAACTACGGAGGTATGTCGTTTAGTGTGTGTCAGTAGATGTGATTTGCCAGTATTTTGTGTGTAACCTGTTTTTCTTCCTGGTCAGTTTACTGTGTTAATAAATGTTTACCTACTAACACAAATGTTTAGTGTCGAAAAGTTTCTAAACTTTGTTTCCAATCTTCATCAGAAACTTCGATTTTTAGCCGCGGCATAGTGGCTCATAGAACGTCTCTGAGTTTGGTTTTGTTTTTTGTTGTTTTTTGAGTACCAAAATTTAGCTCATACCTCCGTCATCTCTTGTCCGATTTAAGACCTAATTACAGTTTTGGACTCAGCAGATCAAGTCCTTTTGATTGGTGTATTTGATCATGCCCAAAGTCTCACATTAATTTCCTCTAATCCTGTCTAAAGGAATTTAAATTTGAGGGTAGGCTTGTAGAGATCCTGACGAGTAATAAAATCGAATTGCTGGCGCACAAAAATATAGTTAATAAAAAGGTAAAATAAAGGTCTCGTAGATTAATTTACTGTAATCCTGCCTAAAATAGTTTCAAGTGCCACGTCTGTTGAGGATTCTCTCTTGTTTTCTTTATAATTGTTAATTTTTATGGAACTTAATTTTCTTAATGGTTTAGAAGTTTTCAATGACGTACACAGACTGTATGTTACAGTACACTTTTGTGTCATGTATCAATGTGGCCACAAAAGGAATAAACAGTAAGACACAGTAAACAGTAACATGTGTTTTATACTACATCATTTGGTTACCAAGACACATAAAAGTAACATGTGTTTTATACTACATCATTTGGTTACCAAG